ATTTTGGTGGTTGCTAGGCAGTTGCTAGGGTACCCTGGGTGGTTACTAGGCAAGCCTCACATACATGCTTGATAAAACATTTATACTTAGTAAGCATGTCTATCAAGTTACAGTACTTGGCTAGTCAATATTAGCATGTAGCTAATCACTGCTAGCATGTGTAGCATATAGGAAGTTCCGTTTGCTAGCATGAGTTGAACGAGCCAATTTTCAAGTCTCTACGATGTTCTGATGCTGAGATATAGCTGTTGATGAATGGTTGCTAGGGTACTCTGTTTTGTTGCTATGGGCGAGGTTACAGAGTGCACTTGAATGTGGTTGGCTGTCTAAGTCAAATGAACCAACCCCCATGTCTCTATGACACTGCTATGCAAAGATATGCATCTTGGCCTATTTTAATGGAAGTCTATGGAATCAATTTGGGGGCGTGGCTTGTGAGCTTTATTATCATATTGAGATGCTCATTGGTTGTCTGAGTCAGATGAGCCATCCCCCAAGTCAATAGGACACTGCTAAGCAAAAATATGCATGTAGGCCAGTTATTAACGTGAGTCTAGTATGAATTAGCATGTTACTAGCATGATTCTAGTACAAATTAGCATGTCATTAGCATGTTTCCAGTATGAGTTAGCATGTCATTAGCATGATTAGCATATGAGTAGCATGTTGCTAGCATGATTGGCATGTCATTAGCATGTTAGAATTATAAGCATTTAATAGCACAGCTAATTACAGTCTATAGGACAGTTGCTAGGGTGCAGTATGTGGTAGTTAGGGGTGTGGCTAGAAAGTTAAAAGGCCATCAGTGATTGGCTGCTGGCTAGACTGAGTTAAATGAGCTCAGCCATTAGTCTCTATGACAGTCTGATGCAGAGTTATGAGCTCACAAAGTTTGATCCCATGTAAAGTCAATGAGAGTCTTTTGTAATAGAAGTCTACGGGACAGTTGCTAGGGTGCAGTATTGGTAGTTAGGGGTGTGGCTACAAAGTTAAAAGCTCATCAGTTATTGGCAGATTGGTAGTCGGAGTTAAATGAGCTCAGCCATTAGTCTGTAGGATAGTCTGTTTCAGAGTTATGAGCTCACAAAGTTTGATCCCATGTAAAGTCAATGAGAGTCTTTGTAATGGAAGTCTATGGGACAGTTGCTAGGGTGCAGTATGTGGTAGTTAGGGGTGTGGCTAGAAAGTTAAAAGCTCATCAGTTATTGGCAGTTTGGCATTCAGAGTTAAATGAGCTCAGCCATTAGTCTGTAGGACAGTCTGATTCAGAGTTATCAGCTCACAAAGTTTGATCCCATGTTAAGTCAATGAGAGTCTTTTAAATGGAAGTCTATGGGACAGTTACTAGGGTCCAAAAGTGGTTGCTAGGGCGTGGCTAGAAAGTTTAAAGGTGATCAGTCATTGGCAGTTTGATAGTCTGAGTTAAATGAGCCCAGTTAGAAGTCTGTGCAACAGTCTGACGCAGAGTTATGAGGTCACAAAGTTTGATCCAATGTTAAGTCTATGGGATTTTTCCGACAGTCCCGGGACGTTTTTCGGAAAACCGAAAGTCGGATCAGTCGGAAAAGATATAGCATAAAGAGTCAGACCAGTTTGGAGGTCTGGTGTAAGTTTGGTGGTAATAGCTTGAAAGTTCAAGGAGCAGATAGATTTTGAATTTTAGTCTCAGAAGAAGAATAAATAAAAATAATAATAAGTTTAAATAGGATAACAGTAGGTTGGCTTTGACAAGCCAGCCTAATAAGTTTAGAAAGGATAACAGTAGTCTGGCTTTGACAAGCCAGCCTAATGACTATAATGTAGACTGCTATTGTAGACTATAAACCTGCAAATTATATATAATGTATTTAATTATTATGCAATAATTATTTGGTAAATATTTATTTATTTATTTTGTTTATTGGCAAAAATCTACACTCTGAAATGTAATATTACACTATATACATCATGTAATTTAAATTGTTAAATAAATTAAATGCTCATGCTATACCTAAATGTCTTTGAAAATGTTTAAGGCCCCAAGATTTTAACTGTAGTTGACTGGATATTAACTAATTAGATTTTATTATATATAAAAATAATAATTATATAAAAATTATTTTATTTTATTATACTAATTATATATCATTATATTATAAAGTTTAAAGTTATGCGTTATGTAAAATAGTGTGTGAAAATATGCATGTACGTGTACACACACACACACGTGTATATATATATATATACATACATACATATATACATACATACATACATATATATACATGCACACACACACACACACACACACACATGTATGTAGTTTTTCAGAGAACAATAAATAAAATAAGGATTAAATTGATTTAATTGTTTGAATTTAATGCTTGTTTTGGCACATGCTAAGTTCTGTCTTGAGGCTTCCTAGTTGACAGCCACTTTATTAACAAGTAAAATTTTTTACAGATAAAGACTGACCGTTAAACAGTACTAAATAAACTCAAAACATTTAAATTGTATGCAAAGGTAATACTTCAACTCTTTCTATTGGGGCCGTCTGTACATTGTTGTTTGTAATCTACACTTTAGGTTGAACGTTCTCTCAATGGCTGCAGAAGGAAAAGCCGACCTTGAGGCCGGTGATGATGGTTTAGAGTCAGAGATTGTGTCTTTGCGAACACAAGCAGAAGCGCTGCGAGAGGAGCTGAAGACCTGTAAAGATGAGCTCCAGAAGTTACAGAAACAGCTCAGCCAAAGCGAACGGCTCCAGAAGACCACAGAAAGCTACAATGAAGATCTCCGACAGCAGGTGAGCAGGGCCCTCATGGAGAACAGGCACATTTGATGAGTTAAAGAACATAAAAAAAACACGTCTAATTGCTTTTTGGCACTTTGTGGGACTGGTGTGGTTGTAAAAATAGACAAAATAGACACTCTGTGCAGTGTTTTTTTAACAATCTTCTTTTTAATGAGGTATAAGCAAATTTTGACAGTGTAATACAACACAATTTTGTTAGAAAACAATTTAAAAAACAACAACATTGAAGCAAAACTAAAAGATAAAAATAAAGGGAAAAAGGCACAAGTTATTTTAATTAGAAACAGGTTATTCTAGATAATTTAACATGAACAAAAATATTCATCATTACCAGATACCAGATCATTATTTAACAATGGTTTATTTAAATAAATGTCTGGAAATGGGAACACATGTAGATAGAGTAAGTTTCATCTTTGCCAGTTTCATTTAGTACAAAATCTGAAATGGAAATAAAGCAGGGCTGGCCAAACTCTGTCCTGGAGGGCCTACAGAGTTTACCTCCAACCATAATAAAGCACACCTGCCTATAGCTTTCTAGTGATCTTGAAGACACTGCTTAGCATGTTCAGGTGTGATTGATTAGTGTTGGAGCATAACTGTGTAGGGCACCGACCCTCCAGGACCGAATTTGCCCACCCCTGCTGTAAAGGGTGTCCAAATTTTCTAACAAGAAGCAAGTTTACTTTTTAACATATGCAGTCTTTTCCATTACTAAACAGAAGAATATTTGATCATTGATCTATTGTACAATAGATGGCCTTTCCACATTCCTCCAGTACAAAGCTATTAGATGATTTGCTTGAAGTGTGCATGAATACCAACAAGTTTACAAATGCTGCTGTTGTAAACTATATTCTCAGAAATAATGAAATGATTAAATAAAAATGTCATGTTTCGTGGGTAGGTTTATACATCTACTATCTGTAAAATAAACATAGCCATCTCTACATTTCTTGTACCTTCGGGCAGTCCCACATAGGCTGTGTCCGAAATCGCCTAGTACTCAGTAGATGCTGCATTTGAATTTAAATGTACTACTCGACTGTAGAAAAGGACGTTCTATATAGTATGGATGTGAATAGTATGATTCGAGCCTCGGCTGGGGTCAGTTGGCATTTGTGTTGAGTTTGCATGTTCTTCCCATGTTTGCGTGGGTTTCCTCCGGGTGCTCTGGTTCCCCACCCCCCACCCCCCATATATATATATATATATATATATATATATATATATATATATATATATATATATATATATACACACACACACACTTTCACGAGTATTTCATTTAACCCGAGTAATTATAATTATTCTCATAATCCTGATTTATTGTATAAAATTGATATTACTATCGTGTTTTGCATTGTTTTAGGTTGATAAACTGAGTGCAGAAATCCATGAGCGAAAGAAAAGAGACAAGGAGAAAGTGGACGCTGAGACTCAGACAGAAGAATATACATGGACCGAGACGGGTTAGTGCATTTTTTTTTTTTCATTAATGTGAGATTATAATTTATGTGAGATTTAAATCTTGTTTTCTTTTTGCAACAGATTATTATAATTATTACTATGGTGGATACTACCAGTCAGAAACGACAGCAGAACAGGAGACAACAGCAGAAACTCAGGAGAATGTTGTCAAGGAAACTCAAGAGGCTTCTGTATACGTTGAGGAGCAACATCCCAGAATAGCTGAGACTTCGGTAGCCAATCCTGAGCAGCCAAATGAAACCAGTGATATTCCCCAAACTGAGGTATGAGAAGTGTTGGACAGTACAAATTCCAAAATGCTTCATATGAGTTTCACTACACTTCATATTATATATTATATTACATCAGATGGTTAATATGTTCAGGTCCAACGGCACTCTAACACTTATCCACCGTTTGTGTATTACTTTATTTAACACTTTTCACATTCAATGACAATGGAGTAGGCATGGGACGATAACCGTTTTCAAGGTGTACCACGCTTTGGAAAAGTCAAGGTTTTAAAACCGCCAGTATTTTCTTGTATAGCATTTCTAAGGTGTGTGTAAGATTTTTATTTACTTTTTTTTTTCAGCTTTTTTGGGAAAACCGTATCGCCAGCAGAAAAAATATGCAAAGATGCTGTTTTAACTTGTAGGGGGTCTTAAATGTCTTAAATTTCATAAACTAAATTTAAGGCCCTTAAATTCACTGAAATATTCTTTTTTGGGTCTTAAATACTTTTAAATTGGTCTTAAAAACAGGTCTTTTAAACAGGATTTTCACTTATTGTCTATGTAAAGCTATAGCCAATCAGTACAACTAACAAATCCATCTGAAAAAACGTTTAACAAAATTAACGTTTATTTACTATTTAGCAATATGGTTTAATTGTCTTCCTTGCGTCCTTACAATAACATTTGTTTAAAAGTTCTCCATGATTTCTTGTTTTTATGTATAAATTTATGTTGTGCATAGATGTTGTTTATTATAGCTTTAATTTTAATCTTTAATATTGTTTATGCTACATTGCATTTGTGGGAAATATTCAGTTTTGGTTTTATTTTTCAGAAGACGTTTAGAATATGATTTCATTTTAAGTGTCGATTAAATAAATGACATCGAAAATTACTGTTTTTGTGTACAGTAGCATTTTAAAATAATCTAGAAGTTTAAGGTGTAGTTACCCTTAAAATAAATAATAACCCTGATTTAAACCTCAGAATTCTGAAAATATTTTATTGAAAATGTAATTTATGTTGTGCATAAATTTTGTTTATAGCTTTTAAAACTTGTCTTTTTTTTTTTTTTTGAAAGATTGTGCTAATACAATATATGTATATACCTGGAGTTTGCTTGTTTTGATGCATTATTTTAAATATATGGCTAAGAAATAACAGAATTTTTATTTTAATTGGGCAAGTTAAAAATCCACTGGTTATTACAAAATATTATTAGCATCTTGCCTTGTAATAGTCTGAAATTTCATTGTTAAGTGATCTTAAAACGGTCTTAAATTCCTAAATTTGACATGATGAAACCTGCAGAAACCCTGTTTTTACCCAGACATTTAAAAAGAATATATTTTAGAGCAGTAATCACAATACCGTTAAACCGTGATATTTTTATCCAAGGTCATCATACCATCAGATTATTTTACTGGCCCATGCCTACTATTTAGTATTGTATCACTAGGCCTGTCACTAATCAATATATCATCTTATTCAACACATGGACCTGACCTCAATCATTTTTGGTGATGCATTATATATATCACACATACATAACCAATTCTAGCAACAATTTAGCCGATTGTGCAACATCTCTATCTCTATTGGAGGTGTCAGTGTTAGTATAGTTAATACTATAGTGTTTATTTTTTTAACCATACATTGCTTTAGTATATTTTCATGTGGGTGTCTGATAACTGAAAATAGATCTGATAATACTAAAATGACAATAATATTGCTTATTGCAGTCCATTTTGTTTCTAAAAATAGGTATTGTGACAGGCCTAAATTTGTTTCTTGCTTTCCTTGTCAGGAGGCCTCAGGAGAAGCCGGCTCTATAGCAGACATGTTAAGAGCGACTGCAGAGGAAGCCATGAACCAGACCAACTTCGTGTTTGACGAAAGCTCCGGCATGTACTATGACCACAGCACTGGATTTTACTACGACTCTGTAAGTCTCGCTCTTCTCTCGGGACCGCTGTTATTTACGTAATGACATGTGTAATCTTAATCGCCCGTGTTAATGTGTTTTTTCCTCTTCCTCCAGTCCAGTCAGCTGTACTATGATGCGAACACAGGCATGTACTATTACTACGACCCAGAAAGCGGAAAATACCAATTCCACTCTAGGATAGAGGTGCCTGCAGCCCTACACCCCGAAGTGGAGCAGACGCCACAGAGGAAGACCAAAGATCGGAAAAACAGGAAGTCGGTGAAGAACACAGAAAGAGCTTCCTGTCCCGACGGAGGGGTGAGATGCACACGGACACATTGTCTTTGTAATCGCAGAGATTTGCGTTTGGTGCGTGACGTTAGCTATGTTTCCATCAATCTATTTTTATATACATTTTAGAAAATCTCATGAAAAAAACTAAACAAAAAAAATGATGAATAATATCATCAAGATGTTCAAACATTTTTTTACAAATGTGCAAAAACAATAAATGTATGAGGCAGATACATTTGACGATACTTTCCATCCACAATTTTTTATTTTACTTTAAAACTAGTGCTGTCAATCGATTTAAAAAATTACTAATTAATTACGCTTTTTTTAGCAATTAATCGCGATTAATCACATTTAAAATACTGAAACTTGTCATTTTGGCTATTCAAATGTAAAATGAATGTAAACGCAAGACAAAAAACAAACTTTAAATTCAGGAAATAATTTTTTGTTAGAATTTTTATTTAACTTGTAACGCAGATTTCTTCATGTAAATAACATACCCACAATAAACCATCAAGATCCTGGCTTAACAGCCATATTTGTTACAGAAATAAAAACACAGGCATGTTAATGCCATTTGAATTTCAAAACAATCAATGCCAATAAAGAAAAAATAGATTTCCATGTTGGACTCTAAGTGGACTGCAAAAAAATGCCAAAATACAGGCATTGCAGATATTATAATTTTCCAATTTCCATAATAATAAAGTATTGAATACAAACAATTGTACTCATTGAAAAGTTGTATTGCTGTGAGTTGAGAACATTAATTATAAAGTAGAAACAATTTTGCTTAGTCCTCCTTTACATTAAGTCAGTTGCTAAGACCGTCCAGTCTGTTGACATTATCAGGGGACAATGTGGACCTTTTCTTTTGAATGATGTGAGCTGAGAGTGAGAACAATCTCTCACAAGCAGGGTCACTGAATCAGCATATGCATTTTGGTGCCTAATTTTGTTGCCACTGCTGCTGCGATAAGAACGTATGAAGCATCAAGCGGTACATCAAAGGCACTCACAGTTATGCCTTGTCACACCAAAGACTAATTCTTACAGGGACTTTGGTCACACCATCTCTAAACATTTAAACAACTTTGAGAGATACGACCATCAGCGATGTTTAGGCATTTGTTGTTGTTGCTAGGAAACACGCGCACACGACATAGCAGCCGGAGCGACTCCCTTCACTGATTCAACACACAATCGCGTTCATCAAATTTGCTTAAACTAAGCATTCCTAATTATGACTGTGTTTTACAAGGATTCTCACTCAGCAACGTGAAGCAGATCCTTTTACAAAAGTTGCATTCAAGGGGGAAACACGTCAAACTTAATGAAACATTTGAGGGCGCATGGAATGCGTTGTCTTTGACAGCTTGCGACATCATCTGGCACTTTCACTGAGTACATTTACATAGACACCAATACTCCGATTTAATATGATAATTTAAGATAATACTCTTATTAAGAGTCTACCATGAAAAAAACAATTTTTAGACCACCTCAAAGGACCACCGAGTCACGAAATGCGGAGCTTATACTTTCCGATCGGCATGTGGTGTAAAATTCCAATAAAAAAAAAAAAGTCGAAAGATTAATAATGAAACATTCAAAATTAGATGAAACTCTGGAGGAAACGCTGGCTAGCCTGGTGATGCGACATTAATTGTTTTATACTGAAACTTTTCTTCTAAAAGTGTTTTCTTGGTCTTATCCAAATTTCTTTGCATGTTGAACACAAGTCGATCACAAAAAAAAAAAAGCTGCAACTTGTGCCCAATAACCTGTTTTAATTCTGTATTAGTGAACGCGATTGCGAACATCTTTTTAACCTGATCTTCTAAGTCAGGGTTGTCCAAACTTGAACCTGGAGGGCCGGTGTCCTGGAGAGTTTATCTCCAACTTGCCTCAACA